CATTTTATGAAATTAATATCAAATTAATGTTAAAGTAATAAACAAATTTAATATATATAAATATGAATTTGTATATAAAACTAATATATACAGATATATTAAATATATATACATATAAACCTAATTAAGAACTGAATAGAGTAGACGTAGAACTCAGATGACATTTATAATCGACCATAAAATACTCTATAATAAGGTTCAATCCTCCATATTAATTTTCTAATTAATCTTAATTTAAATACAAAATTAAACTAAAATTAAAAATTTTAATTTTAATTTAAAACCTCTGTACTTCGAAAACGTATAAAATATAATATTAAAAAATATTTTATTTATTTTAAAAATATGGTAAAAAAAATTTGTATTAATTTTTTTTTATTAATAGACAAATAACCACGGGCGAAGATTAAATTAAATGAACCTCAACGATATATTACTGTTATGTGTTACAATTACCGCTCATAGCGTAAAATTTAAAACCTAATATAGAAAATTAATTTTGTTTAATGACATGAAACCAATAAACAATTTTTATACATTTTCATTGATAATAAATGAAAATTTTGACGCCAAATTGTGACGCAATGATTTGTTTTTACAAAATAAATTTTCATATTTTTATTATGCAAAGTTCCCTTAAAAGGTATGCAAATATTTGACGGCGGATAATTCGTTAACTAATAAGGCAACGACTAGAATATAAAACTGTATTGTGTATATATCATTATGTATAGTCACAAATTTGAATAAATATTAATGTTTTAAGTATTAGGGGTCCGTAGCTTATACATTCTTGGCGTATTAATTGACGAAACTATTTAAAGATGATAGAATATATAATTTTAAATTTTATACATCAAGGTTATTATTATTAAGTTGTAGAGTTTCACTTTTAGATTTAATGTTAAATCGTTAATAGATTTAAAATAAATAGGCCTGTTCCACGAGCTACTCATAGGTAAACTCAAGTAAAACTCAAGTAAAATTTTCACGAAAATTTGGTGGTGGAACGTACTTCTGTATACACAGTGTTCAGTGGCGTAACTACATTTTTTAGGCCTGTAAGCAAATTCTAACTAAGGGGCCCCTACCAACATAGTAAGACGCCCCTCTTTTTATACTCTTTACACGAAAAAATGTGAAAAGGATATATAAGGTTTGTCAAGATTTTCGTAACGCATTAAAGGAAACGTCGGAAATATCATTAAGTATATATCAGTACAATATATATATACTTTTTCAGTTCAAACTACTCTCTCAGCTTTTGAACTCTTCGAACGAAACTTTACACACATACTTTTCGGGAGCCATTTGGTTTGATTGAAATTGGACGTCTATTTCTTGTATCTGTGATATAAACTTAACAATCGGATATGAGGTTTCTCCGTTTTTAATAAAGGTATTCAAATGGAATTTGGTGTATACAGTACTGATATTTGCAAAAGACAACGTACAAAATTATTTTCAAATAGGTTTAAATCTAGATATAGCTTCCATATAAGTCTCTCGATTAAGACACATATTTTTCTTAGAAAAACTTTTTTATTTTATAAATAGGTTTAATATTTTATTTGAAGTACATACATATTATGTACTTTAAATTTAAAATTTACGTATCTTTTATAAAATGCAATATGAAGTTAATCCAACAAAAAACGTTTCGTCCCACTTTTGAGAATTTATTAAAAATAAATACAATGAATACAAAAATTTATAGTGGGGCCCCCTAAATTCGGGGGCCCGAAAGCGTTGCTTCCAGTTGCTTCCCTGTAGTTACGCCACTGACAGTGTTACTCAAAGTTACTACGAGTAACTCGTGGAACAGATCCAATATTTCTCTGAGTTCAACTGCAATAATAAATTGTAATATTGACCCTACTTTACCGAGTGTTATTTCTTCAGTAGATAAAGATGCAAAAATTGTTATTTTTTTCGGTTGTGCATAAGTGCCAGGCAAGATTCTAGCATTTTTTTACGACTTCATTCTCCACTCTACAAAACCAGTAAGTTCTATTAGAGTGCTATTAAAAAAATTTTGAATCGAGTTATTAATCTAAAATAAACAAAGCAATTAAAATTTGTCAAAGGACACATCAACAAAAAAAACACAAAACATAGATCAAAATTTGGATTTATTCAAATTAGGTTTGCCATAAAGACAGCCTAGCATATTATATACATCATGTTTGAAAACCGATCACCAACAAAACAGAAGCTATTACAACAAAAATATCTATATTGCATTTAATTCTTAAAGTCAGAACACAAATCTCTGCCAGATTTGGTCAAACAGGAAATAAAAAAAAGAAACAAGAACAAGGGTCTTATATTTCATTCTGCTAGCTCTAGGCTATACATATTTTTGATGACCCGACAAAATATTTTCTGACGTATCAGATTATTAGGTGTTCAAATCTCTTCAATCAAATGACTCTTAAAAATTCTATCTTACTTTTATTAAAATAAAAATCCGGTATTTTGGAATAATGGTATGGTATGGAATATGATCGAAAAAAAGAACAATGGTTGGAATAATATTTGGAATAATGTTTTATTGATTAAAATATTATGATTTCTACAATTTTTTTTTCATAATTTTTGATGATTATACAAAAATTGAGAATTATTTTCTGATCTATAAGGTTATTAGTTGTTCAAATATGACTGTGAAAACCCCTATCCTACTTTGAAAAAAGTAACAATTCTACATTTTACAAAAAGGATACAATGGTATGGTATGGTATGGTCTGAATATGATCGAAAAAAAAACAATGTTTAGTATAATAAAATTATTTCTTAAATAAAACAAATGTATTTTATTGACTAAAACATTTCAAATATTTTTAATCTTAAAAATGCTTATACAAATATGTTGCAAAAAAAAATATTTTGTAAAAATACTTTTAGGTTTCAGTCATGGCTTTTCTATAAAAAAAATATAATTTGTTATTTAAATTCGGGGAAGCATAAGAAATAATTCTCTTTTTGGTAACTGACTTGAGTTATGTTGTAATAAATAAAGGGTGATCAAATAAGAGCTATATGTTTTCAACTGTTTTTTTATTTAATTGGATATATCACGAGACGTATACCATGTTAACCACACTATTAAAACCACATATATTTCAGAATGAAATCGTTAAATTCATGCCATAAAAAAACTAGTAATCGGTAACTGCAATAACATTTTTATTTCTCAGAAAATAGGGTTAATAGAAATAGAAAATAAAAAAATAGAAAATAGGGCTTACATTTCCAGACCATAAATCACGAAGTGTTATTTTTGTGTTGTGTTTTAGGAACAATTTATGGGTTTCCTCACTTCAAATGTTGCAATTATGCTTATCTACTAATCCATTTCATCAGATGCTGAGATTCATTACTATTAATTTTTCTTTATGAACCAATAATTCTGTACTCCAAAACTCTAACTGCAAAATTCCACATAACAAATGTAGTCTTTAATTCAAGTTCTTAGATCAACTAAATTTTATAAACCCCGTAATGCAAGTCTTTATAAACCATCATAACCATTATAAACTATTATGTTATAAAAAAGTCTAAATTCTTGATAACAACGCTAAGTGTATTCTTTCTCATTTTCATCCACACTTTGATTTATAATATTATATTACATATATTATATTAATAGTATTAAGAATATTATTATAATATTAATCAGATTCCTAATAGTACGTTTGTGTTTTTGACGGGTTGGATTCTTAATATCACATATATTGCAATTTAATCCAAATATTTAATTATATTAGGAATACTAGGTCGAGTTGTTGAACAAAAATTCCAAATAACACATAAACGTAGTCTGAATAGTTTAATAATTTTTGGAATAAATTTTAACAATTTCTATACGTTAACAAACAGTCTATCCTTTCAATATGAGTAGCTAAACAATACTTAACGCAAATGTTGATTCTATTGAGAGCGTAAAAAAAATTGCAAAAAAATATAGTGCTGATTTGATCACCCTGTATGCATTTGCCTTTATATTATACCATTACAAATTAAAATTATTAGGGAGATTTTTAGACAATGATTGTCGTTAAGTATCTAATGCTGTATAATATTTTAGTTAAATTAACAAAAAAAAATTTAGGTTTAATATACTAAATGATTTGTTAGTATTTTTTGAGATAATAAAAATACTTTGTACTGGAATGGCTTTGTACAGGATAAAAAATGCTATCGTTTCATCGACAAATGTCTTTTTTTCAGAAATATAAAAGTTGCACGAATACTGAGGTGAGGTGAATACTGTGGATTATTGATCTTACCGGGTCGTGAAAATGTCAATTCAAAACTTCTCTACATGCACCTATTGTCAAGAAGTAAACATTATAAATCTTATTTTTTTATTTGTAAAATAGTTGTATGAAATATTAGCGTTTTTTGATGATGGTATAAATTATATTTTCTTACCGAGTTAAAGGCATAAATAATTATTATTTTTACTGAAGGAAAAATATGATTTGCTAAATTAAAGGCACAAATAATTATTATTTTTACTGAAACAAAAATGTTATTTTTGTATTTTCTAGACTTCAACGTATAATAGTTTGTTCATCTCAATAGTCAGTTAAATAAGATCAGCACTGATCGTGTACTTCGATTGGACTCAATGTTGCTTATAACCTGTGGTCAGTACCATTTCGAAATCATGTACATCTCTAATAAACTTTGCTATGGAATAAATAATTAGCACTATAAAATTTGTTCAGCAATGATTATTGTTGTTCTAGTTCTAGCCCGTGGAGATCTATATGCAAGATAACATGTAAAGAATTACAAATATGAATACATAAATGAGGATATGTTGAGTAAAGAAAATATGAAAGAGAGTTGAATTCTTTCGGAATAAGAGCGGACCTTTGTGAAGGTGAAGGCACCTAACGAATTCAAAGAGACGGCGCGAAAGATCGATTGGACTCAAATTGATGAGTATGTGTGTGTGTGGTTTATCAATTAAAATATTTCCGTTAGAGTTATAACAAGTTTAAAATAAAACACACTTACTACTTCCTTTATTTATTCGAATAAATGTCAGGGCAGTATTTACATTAACGATGCAGGTCACTGCGGATTGGGCCCCAGCTGTTTACAATAACAACAAACATCTATTTGAAAAAGTTTTGATTACTTTAACACACTTTGTAAATGATGTTCCCATGATGTTCCAAACAACTAAATAGGGTCTCATCGTGTTATATGGAGAGTTACTGATAGAATTTTGTTTGAATAGTGCAAGTAATTTTAGTCATAATCATATTTACTTACAAGAAGAGTTTGTTTTTGAATAGTGTTATGAATACATTTTACGTATCGTCATCCGTATACGTTGATTCAAAGCGTGAAATTCAAGAAAATTGTAAATTTAGTATGAAAAAGTCTTAAAGCTAGGTATCTTCGCCACTTAGTAAACATAGCATTAGAAGAAATTTTTATCAAATTAACATCTTTGAACCTATTCGACTATCTCTCGATTAAATGTTTGCATGAATTTTATTGTTTAAAATTATTTACTTATTTTTAGAAGATTTTTCTGCTTCCTTAAAAGATTTTCTGCTTTTTTTGGATATAGTATCTTTTTTAAGTCTACACTTTTTAATCAATTTTTAGCGAAATTACTAGCAAGTACCCAAAAACAATATCAAAATAATAGTTTTAAAAGTAACTTGATTAGAAATGTGTAACATTTTTACTCACTATAATGTATTATATCATATTAAGCATACAACTATAGATCACTATGTCGTACTTACCGCTTTGAACCATTTTATTTGTGCCTTTGGTCTCGACTCAAATGATATGCTGAGTTTAACGCTGCCACCTATAAGTGCCGTACAATCTTCTGGCCCCAACAATATATAAGGTGGAAAATCTGTTGGTTCCAATTCAACGTTTGGCAAAATTGTTGATTCTATATGTTCCACCGTGGAAGAGTCATTTGTGGCAGCTGCAGTTGGTAGCACTACAAGACTCGTATAGGTGCGTATGTGTGTTGGTTTGCCAGGATATGAGACGCTGAATTGTACCTCGCCACTTTGGGTATGTTTGGCGTTATTTATATGAAGCACATGTAAACCGTTTGCGGCGGAAGACTCAAACTAAACACGGAATAATAAACAGAAATTAATTTATGCAAATTTTATTTTAAAATATTATTCACACATTTTTTATATAAAAAACACAAAAAAATAAACAAATAAAAAAAGCAACAAAACAAAAAAGAAATGCCGAAAACATCTGTGCGCTCTCAAGGCACATTATTTTTTCTCAGATATTTAATGCAAAGAGATACTTTTTTCTTATACATTTATATCAACATTAATAATTTTTTAAAAAATTTAATTTAAAATTAATTTATATGGCTCTTCTCAACAAAAAAAAAAAAAACAATAACACCCATATATTTCAACTCAAAACGTACGACAGATTCGCGCACTACAAATTAGGAAAGAATTTTTGTGAGCTCACGACTTGGAAGCAATTGGCGCACTACTAACATTAATAATGACGATAACGACGAAGAAAGCAAGTTCATTAAAAATCGCTGATCATCAGTAAATAATGTAGAACAGTGCGGTGCTGGCATATATAAACGACTATAGAAGCCCGTAGAGCAACAATGCACAGACAGAAAACGGGGAGCGTACGTTCCGCGCAATGCACTAATTTCAAAATAAATATCAAACCTAAGCGATTAGGTTGAGCTTCATTTAATCGATCGACAAATAACTGTAGGGAAACACATAAAATTATGAACACTTGAAGTGTTTTCGAAGCGTCTTCTTAAAACATTTTATCACTTGTTACGCACACATTATTACCCATGAGCCGCCAGAAATCCAGCACCCCACTGTTCACTATCATTCCACTGATAACAAACACGATATTATCTATGCAAAAAAAAAATAATAGACAAAAATGTACATGAAGTACATGAAGTTTGTAAATATGCCGCAAAATCACATCAATTATAATACCATTTTTGTAGAGGTTCAATCACGTTCAAATTAACATGCATTACAACGTATCGGATTAGTAAATGGATCTGTTACACTGATAATAACAAGACAAATACCTGTAACATTGCTCGGGCATTAGTTAACAGTACACTACAGTGCCGTTGAAGTATTCAAATAAAACTAAAAGAGTCGAAGGTGGCCAGATATATGAACACTGGCAGCTTTAAATTAAATCGATCTTTAAAATCGTCACTTAAATTCGTGAGAATTTTTTTAATAAATATGTGCGTGCACAGTGGGCTAAGAATGGATTTATGTCAACAGAAACAAAGTATATAAAAACTTTTAGGTAGAGTGTAAGACAAGAACCCTATGAGCATTAGTGGCAAAATAGTTGACTGAGTCCATTGGTTTTATCTTGTCCTTAAATCACAGTGGACAAAAACTGTGATATGAGACAGTAGAAAGTGGTCTTTGAACAATTTAGAAGTACCTTCAATTTTTAAAATAATTAGAAATGTATAAATTCATTAAATTAAATAATTTAAATTAATGAAAAACAAATCAAAAACTAAAACACAGCTAACAGAACCTTTACTCTATCTCAATTAAATAATTCAACAAATGTACAGCAATAAAAACAATTTTTATACAAAACCCATACAAGTTTCAAAAGCAAATGTTGTAAGAAATGTCGATAATTGCCTCTCTTAACATGTTTACACTGTCTCATTTACGTAGTTTTGCTTATTAAGATCGCTAATGAGGATAACTTACCATCGAAGGGCTTTCATAAAATAAAAATGTCGAATGCAACCCATAAAAATAAATTTCCCACAAGTGATATTGAAAAAATTTTAAATATATGTCATTTAAAATGTAAACAAATAAGCTATATCACAAGCATAAATACCGATGGAAACGACAAAATTTTAATTTCGTTAACATAAGTAGTTTTAGCTTTAGTGAAAACATGATATAAAATTTAGCAATAATAACTGAGTCTGAGTTATATGCTGAGGTTGTTCAAAGTTGATCAGTTCTGACTAAATTGTTAAAAGTGGGAGTGGCACTATATAATTTGGAATAAATGACAAACATAGTGGAATAATTTTATTTGTGTTACAAAATAAATATTAATCCTATTTATAATATTAGTTCTTTTTACTTTCTCAGAAGAGCTAATTTAAAAATGTGGCTTATAAAATTCAAGCAAATATGAGTTGCTTAAATTAATAGATGATTACCTTCAGTGAACTACTCAACTACTCACCTCAGAATAAATCTAATTCTATTCTAAATAAATTCCTATTAATTTTATTAATAGGATGACTGACTTTGTGATTACTTTATATAATTTATAAATTTTTATAAATAATTGTGTTAATAAATAAAAATAAATAAATTCAACAAAATTAAAAATATCTTAAGTAGCAAAAATACAAGTATTTTAAGAACAAACTTTAAAATATTATATTATATTATTAAAATATTTTTTTTTACAGGTTTGGGCATCTTTTACAAAACTCTGTAATGCGGATGAAAATGTTTAACATGGCTTCTCAGATCATATGCGAATAAAATTGATAATAAATTCTACCTATTTTATTAGAGATGAGTGCTCTGAATTAAAATCGATTTTTTTTTATAACGGATCTTGAATACCCGTCAAATATGCAATTGAGTCTCTTGGGTACTCTCAAAAAACAAATTAAGAGAGTACTCAATTTAAGAACAAATTTTAAATAATACTAGAAAACTTATATTCGTATCAGAAATCAAAAATATTACAAAAATATTATACAATAGAGTTTTTAATCGCAAATAAGTACTTGTGCTTTAACCACTTATCCAAACGTATACGTTTTAAAAGCCATACTTATGATTTGTCAATGGATTCTTCGTTTCAATGTATCCATCAGCTTTCGACATTATTAATTATCGTAAACTGTAGTGAAATGGTTGTACAGATGTTAAACTCAACATCTTCAGTGGTAATGACAACTGTTTATGCCACTGTGATATCTTTGCGATAATAGAAATATCTTCTTTCAGACTTAAACCAAAATTATTCTAAATGATTTAATTTTTCAAAGTTTCAAATTTCTCTAATATTATAATGTAGAAGGTGTGCGCAATGAATATACTCATATTTATCTAATCTTATATGATAATAAACTATTCTTCAATAAATGGAATTAACGGATTTGTATAAAAAAATAGAGATAATGGGTAAATAGTCATATGTGATTAAATAAATTAAAAATTAATTTAAAAAATCTGAAAATATTTTTATATCATAACCTTATCTAAGTCTACACGTAGAAGTAATAACTTTTTTTATAATAAAGATTACAGATATATATGAGCGTTGTAACTAAATTTAATGAATTTTTCTAAACCTTTTCGAAACATTCTCTTTTTCAATTAAATATCTTGAATATTTATCATAATCTCGTCTCATGTTATTAGAGAAAAAACCATCCAATTAGGGGGTATTACAGTCCCATGCAAGTGCGTGTAAAATTTAAAAGATATTTTTGGAATTTGTACTACTGTCGCGTGCGTTATTAAAACAAAAATTGTGGGTAAGACAAATTGCCGTAAAAATTTGCATATGAATACCTCTGCGACACAACAGGGTCACTGAGTACTTAGCGTCATCTTTTCACAATTTTTGTTTGTGTAGTTTTTTTGTTAATAACCAACAATAAAATTAAAAGTGTAAGATATACCAAAATAAAAAGTGAAATTTTTTACAGGGTCCATCATTCTCTATACATAACATATATTATGTAGTTAATTAAATGAAATCAATTAATCGATGAATGTCTTGTTTCAATCTATGAATCATGTATTGGAATCGTTCTCTTTTTTTAAATGTTAACAAATTACTTATATAGATGACTCGATAAACACCCTGTACAATTTTTCGTAATACTTTACTTAACTTAGCGTATAAAAATTACGTATCTCTCGCTAACCACAATATTGATACGAATTTTTATACAACAAAAACAACAAGTGACACACTTATTCGCTTACCGTAAGTTCAGGTGAGTCAGCCACAGTAACTTTACGTCCACAAACGTACCAGTTTGCTTCAACAGGTAGTCTTTGTTTACCGCTCGAATGTATTTTAGCACAGAACGAAGCCTTAGAGCCCAGGTATGCTATTGCAGGGAGTGGGGTTTTAAGTAATATTGGAGTGTCATCAGCAACGCTTTCAAATACTGTTAATTGACCAGAAGTGCAGCAACTATAACCATCAATTGTTGTTATTTTGCAAGCATAAATTCCAGAGTCCAGATCGAATGCATCATGAATACGTAAACATAGTATACCATTGCCATGATCAATATAACTAAAATGCATAGAAAAAATATATATACTTTTCTGTACTATAGATCAGAATCATTCTTAGATCTATATAGCAATGTCTATGGCATATTTTTAGTTTTTTAAAAATAATTTTTTGATTGATTAATTGCGAATTTTTGTCTTTATTTATACGCATAGAAAAAATATATGTACAATTTCTAGCAATATAATACAGATCAGAAATATTCTTATAACTGTGTAGCAATCTCTAAAATATTTTTAAATTATTTTGATTAATTTTTTATTAATCTTGACCTTTTATCATACTTTTTTCTTTAATAACTAATAATTTTTTTTTAACTTTTTTCTTCATTTCTCTGTTTTACGTCTTCTTCCTCCCTCTTTCTACCACTTTCTCTTTTTCTCCCACTCAATCAACAGACAATCAACAAATTTCATAAAACTTACTTTAACAAAACAAGTATATAACAAATTCTTTTTTTTTTAAATAATTTTTATAACTCCAATTTTAAAATATTTCAATATATTTGCATACGAAACCAGCACAATAAAATATTACTTGATACTAAAATTTACCATAACATTTTTTGTACTTACTTGAAATCATCACTATCATTTATGACATCTCCATTACGAGTCCAAACATAACTATATGGTAAACTGCAATCAAACTCAAAACTAAGATCAATAGTTTCTCTTTCAACTGATTGCGTTTCTTCCGGCAAATGTTTTGTAATACGGGGTTCTTTAGGTAAAAACGATTTTATTAATTTTTGGTCATGAATAATGATATCAACTGTAGTTGTTATTGGTTCATGGTCGCCTTCAATAATACATGTATATGTACCACTATCATCATATGTGCAATTGTCAATAAAAAGAACTGCTTCGTTTGAGAAAACCTCGATATGAACTCTATTAGACTCCAAAAGCTCAGAATCATTATGATAAAATTTACATGCTGGAACTGAAGAACCTCTAAAACCTGCAGCGAGTGCCATGCGCCCACCAATTGCAGTGGATGGTCCCATTATTCGACGGCGTATATAAGCATTTCGTCGTGAAGACGAAGCTCTTACACTACGTGAAGAAGGTGATTTTGAATAACGCCTACTGCAAATAACATCCAATCGTGCCGTAGCTTCTATTCGACCATAATCATTTTCTAAAGTTATACGATATAAGCCAGCATCATCAAATGTCACCTCATCGATTTCTAAGAAACGTAGATCATCTATTTCTTTCACAGATATACGTGTGGTTGGTATTACGATCATACCATCCTTGTCCCATGTGGACCATGGAGTTGGATGACCAGCAATGGCACATTGAAATCGTACACTATCACCTTCTTCTACAACTCGACTATGTGGTATAGCTAAAAATTTAGGAGCTGAAATTGTCTGCTGTTGTGCAGTATAGCGTCTTTGTTCACTGCTACCAATATCAATGCTTGAGTTGCGATATGAAAGCCTCATAGGTGAAAAGCTTCTATTTGGTGTGGAACGTGGAGTTGAAATTGGCGTAGAGCTTGCTGAAAGCAAACCAGTTGGCCGGGATAATTGTCTGTTTAACATATTTTCTTTTTCCTCTGGTACATCGACTATAATACAAGCTGAGGAAAGCGTACGACCTAAGTTATTTTTCGCAACACATGTGAATTCTCCTTCGTCTTCAGGGTAAACGCGAGGTATGCTTAGAGTTGCTTTTATACCATCATAGGACATCGAAAACTCTTTATCACTTGGCAATACTCGACCATCTTTTTCCCAAATAATATATGGTTCTGGTAATCCCTCCACATGACATTCTAAAGTTATGGAGTCACCATCACAACAGCGTAAGTTACGTAAATGCCTTATAAAGTGTGGAAGGGTTTCAACATTTCTATGGAGTATTTAAATATTTAAATAATATTGTTAATTTCACACTTAAATTTATAATAAAATAATTTTGTATTTTTAATGTCTTACCCATGTCTTATAGATCCTTTCTCCATTTTTTGCCTTAGGATATCTGAAATTTCAAAAAAAAATTTTAGTCAACTTTAGAAAAGTAAAAATTTTAGCTGAAAGATCCAAATTACTTAATAATAGTAAACTGAATATTTTTAGAAGCTAATGTAACACTCGGGTAACGCATTTCATACGCTTTTATGAAGATTATGGAAACTGAATTTTAGTCGGCAGTTATACGAAATGTTTAAGATTATGAACAAATGCTTCATGCCTGCCTATCCTAATATATTATTATATTCAAATTATTTAATTTTGATTAAATTTATCATTAATTTTTATATTTGTGTTCGTGAAAACTTTATCACATCACTTCTAATAACACTTTGAATATAGTGATATTCAGGATACTCTTCCTTCATAAAGGAATGATCAATAATTTGGACCATATTTTGTGAGTTTAAGCCATAATGACTATCATATGAATTGGTGCATTGTCTTGGGAATACTCTACTCGGTGTCTTTGCAAGTAGAAGCTTTTTGCGGTATTACTATATTTAATTCATCCAGTAATATTGCATAAAATATCACAGATACATCACACATATACGGATTGTACATATATTGGTAATATGTTTTTTATATACTAAAAATCAGTAATCAACTTCCTAGCTGCCTTTGATTTATTTCAAGTATTTTCCAATTTTTATATCCTCTGTTTTTACCATACTTTAAGCTCCAGAATGTTATAGTGGATCCACGATTTAAAAATGAGCTTTGGTATGTTTAGCGATTACGTTTTCTTTTTTTCAAGACCTGCAAACACGATACCCAACACAATTCCTTTGTCTTATTACATCTACAAACAATATTTCCACAATTTAGTCAACCTATATAAAAAATAATCTTACTGGGGATTGATTTTTATAATTATCAACATCACACACTTTATGGTTCGAACAGTCTTCATCAATTTTGTTGGTATGACCATGTTCGAGTATTATTATAAATTGTAGAACTGTACCCTGCAATATTCTTATGGATAACCCAATATGTAATATCCGGAGTGGTCATGCCAGTCCCGTACTTTAAACGTCTTTTTAGAAAAATAACAAGTGCAGAAGCATAAAATAGCAAACAAATCAGCCACATATCAAGACATATTAGCCAAAAATATACCATTGTATGGTAATCTCCTAAGTTTAACAAAAAGTGGTTTCAGTCTGAAATATCCATAAATCATAACATAACCTAAAATGTGTAAATAATTTTAAACAAATAAATGAATTATATTGTCATTAATAAAATAAAATTTCTCTTTATGAACAAAAATACTTATATAATATTTTATTACTTAAATAGCATGTGACATATATTTTTCAGGAATGCTCCTTATTCAACATAATATAAACGACTTCATTTCTACGCACATAAAACATCATCGAAGTTTATATTGAAGAGTTTAACGTTTCCTTTTTATTTTATTTACAATCTTATCCTAATCATTTTCGAAACATAATTGAAATTTCTAGCTTCAAAAGGTGTAATATGAGTTTATTTATCTCTAGCAATACCGGAACTAGTGTCCTGAGTATCTTTTTCAGGTTCAATAGTTAAATCTTCCATTTGTTTTTCTAGACTAGTACCAGACATCAACGCGTATGGTCTTTTTCCATGTGCACTCGTAGGACTAAGACGCACTTGAGAATTGAACACTTGAGGATCATTTGCCAAAATCGTGGGGTTTGTTCTAGAGTTAGAAATGGCAGAATAACCATGATCTAAAAATACCAATTGAGCACTTGGTGACAGGCGTGGCAACCGAACATTTAAGGCAGTATTTTGTTGATTGTAAGATTCAACATTTGTGTTGTTTTCAATATTCTTATTTTTGCTTTCCATCGTATCTATCAATGTATAATATAAGATACAACACACTTTTAAATTTTAATAATTATTACCTATTGGAAATCCTAGACAAAACTTTACTTCGCTTTTAATAATGACTCGTTTTAAGCGCCAAAATAAATTAAATTTTCTTGGAAACAGCACGTTTACATTTTTTGAAAGCAATTGCAGTTATTTATTGTCTTGCGTGTTCGTACGAACAAATCAATCGTAATCATATGTCAGTGTTTTTTTAAGAATTTCAACTTTTATTTCGATCGTTATTTTTCATATATTTCTATACGTATTTTGACAAATTCACTCTTGCCTTCATCAGAAGAATTCCTAATATTATTACAATACAATACAATATTCCTAATACAATATTAGGAATTCCTGATGAAGACAAAAGTGAATTTATCAAAATACGTATAAAAATATACTAAAAATATCCATTGAAATAAAAGTTAAAATTCTTAAAAGAAAAAACCGACTTTATAATTATTTCAATCGAACAACTCAAAAATTAAAAATAAAAATACATACATATGTGAGTGGTTAAAGTTACTGAGAATTATTCCCGCGACGTGTTGTCTTTCTCATGCAAACATTTGATTAAACAAAATATTTTGTTTCAAATTTATTCGTTCGCGCGAAATCGAAGGTGGAAATAATGAAATTAGCAGGCGTCTATTGTCTTGGAACAGGTCTTGGAACTACTTCTTATATTTAATTATTATATTATTATATATATTATATTATATTATATATATATTATTATTATATATTAATTATAATTAATAATATAATAGTTTGCGATTTGCTAAATTCGTTAATTGAGGAACGGGTAAATTCTCAATTTGTATATCTTGATAAATAAAAATCACCAAATGTGTACAAAATTCATGTTTTGTTATTTGAAATTAATAAATAATATAACAACGGTTGTTATTCTATGTTGTTTTCAAAACAAACAAAGCAGAAATATAAATTCGCAACCAATGTAACCGCAACATGCGAAGTATTCGCAAGAAAAAACATACGCACGAACACAACACAATTTGCACATGCAGTGTAACCGCAGCCTAAAAGTATGTGAAATATCGTTTTTTACTTATTTCATATAAATTGGCATGTTTAATATACTTGTACATATGATAAGCTTATATTATTTTCAGACAGCCAAATTTCCTTAATTGCGAAAAAATGAAATCAAGTTAATTTCGAAAGTTTTCATATTGTTCCAATTTAAGAAAATTAAATGTTTTTTGTTTACTTAAATTTAAAAGTAACTATAAAGAATGGCATTCAGTAATTTTATTAGCTTTTATGGATTTCAGGTATGTGAATTCTTATTTTTCACTCTATTTTAAAATAATAACATATACAGTTTTTTCTTTATATTCAAATTTGCACTACTTTCAAAATATTTTCCCAGTTTTATTAAAGACAACTGTCACTGACATTTATTTAAAAAAGAATGTCACTTTTTCGTTATCTCAACTTATCTTACCTCGACTTATCTTTATATATGAATTGCCCCTAAATTTCAGTCTTCGTTTCAACGAAATTAAGACCATTTTCCTTAATTTCGTTCTAACCTTAAAATTGAATTTTGTATGGAAAAACAAACTTAATTTCGCTGAAACGTAGATGAAATTAAGATTTTTCAGAAATTAAGCTGTGTCTAAACATAGTATTAAGGCCATATAATAATTATAGCTTCTACAATTTTAATTAGATATATAGGACGTGTGCGAGTTAGGCTAAGTTCCGTTCTAAATGAGGGAAATTCTAAGATGAGCCGATAATGTAGTGATGTGTCGGTACGTGTTGATAAATGGCTAAATGTGTGCAGTGCAAAAAATCCCAAAAAATCTCCCATTTGGTTTAGCATCAACTTAGCCTAACTCGCACACGACCATAGTTAACAATTACGTTACAACTTTGTTAATAATAATATTCTTGTATAAATTAAGCATACAAAAAAATTTATTTTATCTCGGTATATACCTAAAACGCAATAACACGACGCAACTATTTTGTCCAAATTTTAAAATAAATTCATAACTCAAATAATTACTTTAAATTACTTATAAGCTTATAAGTAATTTGAAATTCATAATCAAGTAATAACGTTAAATTAGTGAAAAATACTCATAAAAATAATTATTAAAGCCACAGTAGTGTATTATATATTTAAGAAATGATCTTTGTATTTTTTTTATTTATACTTTTTATATTACTATAATCATTTTCATACAATAATCATTTCGGATAAAATAAATTCATATGTAGTATTAATAACAACAACAAGGCAGCAATAATGCAATATAATTATTTTCAGTTATAAATATTACTAAACTAATAGTTATTTAAAAATACTTAAATAAATATATACATAAGGCAAAAAATATTATGCATAAATAATATGTAAATACTAAGTCCTAAACACATTTCAAATTTTTTTAAAATAAAATTATTCGACTTGGCATCACTATTTTCAGTTTTATTTTTAGTGACAACTGACGTAAGCAGTAGTGCCAACATAATCTTTGACACAAGAATTGATAGCTTGCCTGTGTTATATTTGTGCACAAAATATAATATAAAACAAATTTCATTTTCGAATTTATTTTAATTACAATGATTGTAATACGTGTTAAACTAGAAAACGGTTTTCGTAAAGGAGATGCTAACAATATACCAGTTATTCACAGCGGTATGGTTTGTAGTTTTGTAACGAAAACGGCAGCTAAAAATAAGCAACCGGTCAGCGGAGCGCCTATGTAAGTATATACTTGTATGAATATTGAAAATATATATAAATTTTTTTTTATATTTAAAGGTTTGCACAAAACGATGATTTGCTTATTGACTATGTACAAGTCCGTACAACTGGAGATGTGTGTGAGGCACGTGCCATTGCATTTAATAAAGATAAAAGAATTGTTAGCAAACAGGCAAATGTTACTATCAAGGTGAATTTACGAAAAGAAGAAATTTTTTCAGCCGAATGTGAACAATGTCCAAAAAAAGGTATTTATATTGTGTACATATATACATATGTATTTTATTTGAAAAACTAATAAGAAACTAATAAAACTTATCAGATTCATGCAGTCACATAATGGCGTTTATCTTTTGGCTGTATCGTAAGAGTACAGATACTGATACACCTGCTATACGCAACTTTTGGGGTACTGAAGCAGAATTATTAGTAGAAAGTGGACGAAGTGAGGCAGTCCGTATTCGTGATGAAGTTGGTTGTGATGATTTGCGTATTGAGGCCGATATGGAAGTATCTGCTGTGACCGATGGAGAAGGAAATGCATTCTTAAATGCTGTATTGGATAGTATGTTTAATCAGGGATTAGATAGTTCATTGTTCTACAGTCATTGTAGGCCAGATCATAACGAATTTGAACCATTATTTGTACATCATACATTGCTAGATTCTAATTCTAACAAAGTTAAAGACGTAACCAGCTTTCTTGTGCATATGGAAGAGGTTGCAAAAAAGGGTTTATTTGAGCGATTAAACGAAGCTACAAGAACAAGTTACAAATCACACTTATGGCTAGAATCTCAATATATGCGACTTCGCTGCTCATTAATTCATAGAATTGTTACACGTAAAAGCAGCGCTGATGATGATCGTATTATGGAAATGCTTTTTTGTAAAGATCGTGAAACAAATTGTGAAGAACGTCAACAATTAAAACAACATAAACGCTTTATATTAAAGCAGACTGAAAAACTTGAAAACAAAACCTATGAAGATTGTGGTCTCATATTAAGTGAAAATTATCCATACATATCTGCTTCACCCGATGGCATAACAGATGATCATATCGTAGAAATTAAAGCGCCTAAGACTGAAGAAGAATTTGAAAAATATCTTGAAAAAAGAGAAACAATTGCACCAAAATATATGGCACAAATTCAAATACAAATGTATATGGCTAATGTCACAAAAGCACTCTATTGTGTCCTCAGTCCAACATTTGATACAACTGGTGCTTTGCATTATGTTTGGGTACAAGCTGATATGGAATTTGTAGCTGGATTGTTGGGTGCCGTGGAAGATTTTTGGAAGGATGTCGTATTTCCTCGGCTTGTGAAGGTTTACAATTTACCTGATTAATACATATTTAAAGTAATAATAATTCTAATAAAGGTTCAATTTGGAACAAAATATTACTAATGCAAAAACTATTTACCTTTAGCATAGATTTGCAATGAAATTACAGCTTTTACTTCTCCATGACAATTGGTGGCAATAACTGAATAAGTGCCTGTAAAATCTAGTTTAGCGCTTGGTATTTCTAGTCTGTATTCAGGACCGTCTCCTACGCGTCGGAAATGTGGAGCGTCCTTGTAGTACTCGGGCTGAAATTGTAAAAAAATTAATTGTTAAACTATGAGTAAACACACACTGCTTTCATTAAAATATATAATATTGATATCTTAGTCAATTTTTTATGATGAATCATAGTCATTATTATCGAGATTTCCTAGTGTTACTGTCATGCCATATTTGTCGACTACATGCCGATCAATAAGAACCAGTAAAGTGCATGCGTGTTTATGTTTTAAAAGGAGACATGTTTGAAAGTGGGGTGGTGCAACTACAGCACACATTGTACACAGTTCTACATTGTTGCTGATATTAAGCCAAAGTGTTTTGCTTTTGCTTTCAAATTAACAACAAAATTTTATAAATTATGGAGTTGTTTTAACCATTTTCGTGCGGCATATATTACACGTTATTGTTTCGACTGCTGCTGTCGTACGTTTTACGATGATGACTTATAATTTTTTTCATATATTATATTACAATGGTTGCATATTATAACGCAATGGAAATTCTCGCAGTACACTCACGCTAACTTATTAAACTAAATCGCTTAGATGCAGTTCCGATCTGTTGCCACTGCTAGCTACTAAGATTACAGCTATTTTGTTGCTGACAAATTTATTACAATTGTTGCTGTTGAACTTGAATTTTAGTTGTTACGATATAACAAGTGACCTTGACGTCAAATACAATATCTGCTATATCTAGTATGTATTATAAAGCATATATATTAATTATACTCCTTGTATATATAAATTATAATTTTTATTTTTTTTTTTTTTGTAGTTGCGATTGTTCCTAAACCCTTTGAATTTAACATAATTGAAATTAAAAGCATATTTAGATATATAATACTGACAGCAAATAAGTTTATAATTATAAATTTCGCACTGAAGAGTATAATTTTTTTTAAAAAGAAATTGATCATTGAAATTAATTATAAGAGTAAAGCTGTTTAGAAGTTCCAAAGGACATTTCAATGATTCAGTGTTAGCTGCAGCTTAATTAATTACAAATCCTGTAGTAAATATTCAACAATAAGCTAAAAAGACTTCAAAGTTGCACAAATAATGAAAACATTAGCGTAGTGTGGTGTATTTTAATTTTATACTTGATATAAATAATAAACAGGTGAGTACAAATATTTGTTACTAAAAACAAAATATTGTTCAATTTCGTTTAATTCTACTGCCACACACATTTTACGAAATATTATATACACCATATGTTTGGTTGGGTCTATAATATATTTTGTATTTATTTGGAAAAAATAAATCAGTGGTCCTAAGACCCTACATGATGAGTACTTGTCAAAACTCGAAACAACGTTGTATGGTCAGTCAAATTTCAATAAATTAACTAAAATTCTATTCTCGTCTTTTCTTTGCTCGTCGAATCCTTCTAACGAAAAAAACTATTTCATTTAAAAATTTAAAATTTGTATTTCTTAGAAAGGTTAATTTAATTTAAAATTTTCTCCAAAATGATAAGTGATATGATATGTAACTTGCGAAACAATATTCATCGACAATCACTACGATATTACATAAATAATTTTTGAACAATTTTTGAAACATCAATTTTGTTTAAAAATATACGAATATAGTTTTGTGATTATTGTTGTTGCTGTTTTGATAGGTGTTCACACATTCAAATCTTTGCTTTCGTTGAGTAAAAATATACAAATATGATCTTGAATTTGTTGTTGATATTCTTTTGCTTTTTTGATAGATGTTTGCATATTGAAATCTTTCCTTTCGTTGAATTTTATCATTTCATCATTTAATTTTTTACTATTAGAAGTTGGAGTACAATTCCTGTTTCTGGAACGCACCAATTTGGCTACGCATTTTAAAAGTCTCCTATTCCTATATACTTTCGTTCTTCAAATATTAAGGTTTAATGTAGGAATTGTTTATATGAAAATCAAGAACAACTAGTAAAAAAGTTGGATTCGATTTTGTATATTGCCATATGCGTAACAGTAACAGTAACTCAAAATAAATTAATTGACCTAACTTCATTATTAATTCAGGGCACACCACAAATATTAGTCTTGTTGTGCTAGAGTTTTGATATGATTGCTAAAGAAATATCTATATATAAGATATTTACATGATTTAGGACACTATGCTCTAATAAAATAGATCTTTTTTTTAAAAATCTCCTGTAGAAACCTCTATGAACTACAAGCTTAAGACTTGCAAAAGAAAAATTACAATAAGATATTTATAGTAAATATCTTTTATTTATTTAGAATTTTAATACTTAATTTCATTAGTAGCTCATCAATTTAGTTTTTACTTATATTAAGTTCCTAAGAATACTCTCATTTCTAATAATTCCTTCCTAGTAAAGGAATTTCAACACCTTAATAAAGTAGAGCCAATTGTCTTAATACCTATAACGCAAACTTTATACGTTCACAAGTTCACTGATATCGCCGTTGTTGTAGGTCTGAATGTAGTCATGATACGATGAAACGAATTGACGGAATTACGTGCGGCACACAAAAGGAGTTACTTGAAGTTTAACTACTTTTATTTTTTAACCATTTTAATTCCGTTTGAAGATGGTGTACTTCAGACTTGCAATAGCAGCGCTGTGGGACCAGTCTGAAGATACATGACACCAACATATCTCCCTAATTGTTTTGTATGTGACAATTTTTCTTAATCTTTACACCAAAAATAATTTGTGAGCACTTTCAGCATGTTATTGCGACTGTTTAAGTGACTGTACAAAGCAATGACATGTGCGAAGAAGGATTCGCATATTAAATACAATGACTTTTATCGATGAAGATAGGCAGTATCATGAACGCTTCAAATAAAATTAATAATGTTTTCGAAGATACAGTTAGTTTTTTGATTTCAAATTACTTTTAAGTGTGATGGATTTTTCTTGCATCCACCGTACTAGGGTGGAGTAGTGAAACAACAATTCTAACAATATTAAATGCTGTAAATAAATTGTGGCTATCTAAATTTTTTAACTATCCATAAAGATTGATCCACTTAGGTTCTTAAGAGTGATCCTATTCATTTATTCAAATAAATAATTTAAAATGTATAAATTGCAAACTGAATAGTTCAATTTTTATATTAATTTAAATTACAATGATAATACTAATTACCATTGTAAAATTAATTAAATTTAATATATTGTTCTCGCAACGGTCACTTTTTATCACACAGCTAGTAAGTTTTTTTTTAGGGTGATGAGGTGGAATGCTTGATGCACCGTTAAACCAACCGTCGTCGGAATGATGTGACTCACTCCCTATCAGCGTCAAATGTAGAATACAACGATACACATACCTCCCCGGAACCGTTCTAGCATTACTTAGGGAAGAGTCTCTTTTATATTGGCATTGTAAGCCTTATTCTTCATTTTCGATCTGTGTCCAGACGGCTATTTCATCGTAGTTTTTGTTGTCTGTCCTATTTATTAAGTAAAAACTAGGATAATAAATAGAGCAGACATCAAGAAATGCGGTGAAAAAGTGGAGGCCTGGACAAATTGGTTTGCAAAGTTAATATACACGATACGTGTATAAATGCAACGGTACAAATATGATTGATAAGAAACTTTTTAAACAAAGGAATTCTTTACACTTATAGCTTGTCTGATGAGTCACTATGCCCTGTGTTATTATTTCACCAAAGTGGGTATGTCTAAAATGAGAAAATGTTAACTCCACTTGAATGCAATTAAGACTTCTATTCAATTTCTTTGTCTATATCTGGCTTTGATCTGGAACAAAATAAAAAGCTAAACCGGCATCCCATCTGATATTACGATAACCTCATCAGTTAGAGTCGGTTCTTGCCAAAAATATATATCATAATCGCAGTGATTCGTTATTTTGGGAACCAACCTACTATTAATATCTATTTCTATCTTTTAAAGTAAAAAATATTTAAATGCAGTAAACTGCATCTTGAAATTTTAAAGCTGACAAATAAAAGAAAAAAGATAAAGTTTATTCTTATTATATCAAATATAGGATAATTATTTCAAATGAGATAATTGTGGTTCCTCTGAAAGTTTTAATGCTCGTATATTTCATACATCAGCTAATTGAATGCATTAAATTAGTGTTATACAGGTTTCATACGCCGACTATGGTACATATCGTTAATAACCTATTAAAATAATTGTGAAAAACATCTATAAATCTCAAAAATAGCTTAATTTAAAAGTTAATGTCATTAACCGTTTTAGAATCCTTTTGTCTGCTATTAGTGCATAATGGGTGTGAAATTTACAAGCTGTGTTAATATATAGAGTAGTAAAAAATAGAGTAGTTAAAAAAACTGACTACTAAATGGACGTGTCTAGGGAATTGGAATCGTGCATTTTTTCCAGAGAAATATTTTTTCTATAAATATTAAACAACTTTTAAAAATTATTAACTTTTCACTGTATTGTAAGGACTAAAAACTAAATAAAACTAATGACGTGAATATCGCAATTTAACATCCTTAATGGTATCTATAATATAATTGCTCTCGATTATGTTCCTAAATTCACAAATAACAAATATTAAAAGATAATGATCGTTGAGTTCAATAATAGGAAATTCTGTATCGATGGTTATAATTTTGATATAAATACCATAAATATTCTTTGCATGAAAAATAACCAGATCTTTAGATTGTTTTTGTTCTTTTTTATCTTTATATATTTTTCATAGAATAACTAAAAAGAATGTATACATCTACATAAATTGTAATGATGTTGATGTGTATTCAAAGAATGATGTTTGATATAAATTCTTTAAGGATGATCCGTATTTGAATTGATAAATTGTTATTAGAAAATATGATCAAAATGTTATGAGTAGTTTATTTTGAAAGCCTGTATATTGTTTATTATTATTTTTTTTATGCTATGCTCCCCTCATGGCATATAACTCTTATCGTTTCTTCTATTAAAGAAAGCTTCAATTTAGCAAGAAAATATATATAATTTTAATCCAGCATAGTTTACTCGTCAGTTTCCATCGTTGGCAAGAAAAGGGTACAAAATCTTTAATGATCTTTTTCTAGCTGATCTGACAAAGTTATCATCATTTAAATTAAAGCACTGTCGAGAGTGAGAGTGAGTGATATGTTAATAAACTGAGAGGATAGCGTTAAATATCTCGGCATCACGTTGGACAAACGATTCACATGGCTTAAAACATGTTCAACTGAAAAGAATTAGCTGTGCCAAAATTCTTCATCACCTCCAACCGCTATTCAGAAATGAAAATCACAATGCTAAGAACAGGAAACTGATATATAACCAAATAATTCGTCTGTCACTTCTATATGGATGTGTAGCGTTTAGCAAAACTTCAAGCACTACTATTCGCCAGCTAAAAATTGCACAAAGCCAGGCTCTGAGAAGACTTTTCAAGGTACCATGGTAAATTAGGACGAATGATATCCTCAGGAACCTCAAGATTGATCCCATCAAAAAATACATAAAGGATAGATCCCTGAAATTATTTGCGAAAACTGACAGACTTACCAACACTGCGTTATCAAATCTCAGAATGGTTACAGGCTTCTCGGGGAGGTATGCAGATCTAAGGTCAATTATTGATTAGTCTGATGAAGTGATAAGCAATAATGCAGTCAATGCGTAGGTTTGGGGTTTTGAAAATACCCCGAGTTACGAAAGAGTAAAAGTGCTCAAGTGCACTGGCTCAAATAGCTTAAATATAATATCTATTTAATTTAGGGATATAAGCATATTTATAGATTTATCAGTTTAATTCTTTTTTACTTGAAAAGAAGAGTCGTTTCTTCTCAGTGGGATGTGCTAGGTACTTTAGACTTTAAGCTTTAGGGTGGTACTGCAGATGTGGTATGCAGATATTGTTTCATCGGTGGTATAACAATGGGTTATTATTTGAGTTAGAGGGAACTTTGTTGTTAAAGGACCAACCTAATCTAACGTTACTTAAATTTTAATTGTTCATTGGAAAAATATCTTCTTTCATTGAGGTGTGTGATAATCTAATAGTCACAAAAACGTTGAAGTATATTCTTATTTGCTTTTACATATGTTTAAATACTTTTTATATCCTGTACATGAATTTTGATTTTAATTGATAAATGCGTTTTGCTAACAATTAATATTTGTAAATTTAATTTATTTTAATATATGCAAT